GTTTCTCCCCCACCTCACTGCTCACAAGCTTTCCCTGTCCCGCCATAGTGCAGACTAGGCCACGGCAAGAGGTGGATTGTGCAGAGAGAAGATGAGTGTGCTTGGGCTCAAGAGAAGAAGGAAGACAACCTCTCCCGAGTCCCCAGATATAGCAAGCAACAAATCCTTCCCAAACAACCTCAGGAACGAAATTGATGTAATTAAAAGTGAATAAAAAGCCATCAATGAGCAGTTTCCTAAAAACTGCTCCAAGAATTCCTCCCTTTCCCTCAAATGAATCCCCAACGGAAGGAAACGAAATTGAAACAACCTTCAATCCCCGCTGCAATCTGATTCTACAATCCTGAAGGAATAAATAACTAGCCTTATCTACTGAAACTTTCTCTAAAGAACCGGCGAAAACCACGTCCACCCCCTGCGAGATGCACTCTTCCGATCCCGCGAGGGGCGCGGTCGATCCTCTCCTAATCACCTCCCCTGACCTCGACGGAATCTCACCTGCCAGTAAATTAGCTATCTCCTTTGCTCTTTTTCTCGACCGGATCAAGACTTGGTCCTGATCTGTCGCTCCCCGAAAGATCCGCCTCGATCTTTGTTATCAAGCGACTTTACTTAGTAGAGACGTCGCAAAGTTGGCTTTAGCAGCCGCGAAAGGCATCGCCGTGTGCGGGTGAAGGTTTCGTCTATATTCAACTCGAGGAAAGTTATGCACCTCACACTTAGGACATGTACAATGTATCCATATGCCTCATGACAAAAAGTAATTTGAGACATCTATATTTATTTTTTCTCTCCAATGCAAGCTATCACTAGTGGGCCTCATTAAGAAATAGAAAATAAAGACTCTAGTACACATGCATCTCTACTTTTCATTCCAACCTTTTCAGCTTTTGTTATCGGACCATACTTTTTCTCTTCAAGCACCCGCCTCCTGGAGAGGATCCTGCTTCCCTATCCGAACCTACTTTACGTCATATCCGATCCTACATGGCATGCGAGGCATCACCTTGAGGCTATGCATTGTATATGCCCTTAGGCCTTCCACTATGTAGGCCAAAAGAGGTGCCAAATTGACTTCTGGCTCCGATAGCCGGTGCCCTCACGTTGTGAGGCCGGTGCCCCAACAAAATTTTCATGGCATCGGAGCAAGTAGGAGCACCGATGCCCAATTCCTCCAGCCAATAAAATACTATTAACTCTCAACTTTGAACAGCAAATGTCTTCTCTCTCTTTGCTCAATACACAGCAGCGTGGTGTACTTGTTTATCATATGGGTCCCAGAATCTTTTTCCTGCCGAAGCCCTGCGCTGTGAGATCGATGCCTGAAAAGCAATTTTGGGCACCGGTGATGAGGTGGCTGCCTTTTGATGTATTTGGAGCAATTTTGGGCACCGATGATGAGGTGGCTGCCTTTTGATGTATTTAGCACCGGCTACGTTGTGGAAGGCCTTATCACATCTTCTAGAGTTCTGACCTGTCAGGGGCAGATCGTACTCCGTTTCAGCTTCTGCCTACTTTAAACTTGTGGACCAGGCAATCAAACATTAAAAAAAAGTTCCTTCCCCTGCATTATTTGTAGGATAAAACGTTACCGACTTATTGACTACAGTGCCGCCCCTGAATGATCAACAAAGTCTTCTCTTTTCGTAGTATAATAGTACAAAAAGTTAAGGAAAGCATTACAAAATATAGCTTCTTATCCAGTTATGCTCAAAATATTCAATTTTCGCAACAAATATTCAAGTCATAATTACCATAGTTTACTGCGCCATTGCTTACGGGAACAGGATCGCACTAGCTTCGGTTCAAACCGTTTTGTAACCTGACATTGTAATTGTTGGGGCTGAGCACCCCCTACCTCTGCTCCCCCGGGTTCATAGGCTCGCCATCCGTGCGCACGAGGCTATGATTCCCACCCCTGTACCTTCTCTTTTTTCTCTCAATCTATCAATGCAATGATACGCTTCCTTAGCGTATTCGAGAAAAAAGAGTACCGGCCGGGCTGTATTCTAGCAGTATACATACTTCCTCCGTTCCAAAATAGATGACTCAACTTTGTATTAACTTTAGTATAAAGTTGGGTCATCTATTTTGGAACGGAGGGAGTATATCACAGGAGACATGCTGCGTTCTGACACAGTGCCACCAAGACCTTGCTTCAACAAAGTTCTAAAACAAACATATCAAATGGAGCTAAATACAGCTAGTAGGTTGTTACCACATGCAGTCAGAAACTAAAATGATACCTCAGCATAAAAGCACCTAGATTTTAACAACACGTCAAGGGGTCAACACATGCATCAGTTTATGTTTCCCCAGATAGCTTGCCCCGACGTCACCTTGTTGCTCGGCCTCGCAGTCAGCTCGTACAGAATCCGAGCGAACGTGTCCGAGTATTTCCCTTCCGACGTCAGGATCTCCGCAAAGTTATTCTCGTGAACCAGGAGGTGCATCCTGTTTTGAGGCTCCGAGACGAGGCTCTCCAGTATCACCGCTGCTTTCCTACAGACCTCCGACACAGGGTGTGGTGCCTTCACGATCTTTAGAAGCCTATCCACAGCCCTGTTCCAATCGACATTGAAACAACAAATCAAAATTTGCGTCACGGTATGCTATCACTGACAAAATCAAACAGATTTTACCATCGCTCACTAGCCAGCTTCAGCCTACAATCCATGTTCACTTCTGATACGTTGTAGAGGGCGCTAACAGCAGCAGCCTGTGCATCAAATGCTGGCACGCTCAACAGATCAACCAATCTCCTGTATATCTGTATATCAAGTAAATAGCTTTATTTAAAATCATCCATCTATATAGCATAAAATAGTAAATAGAGGACTCTGTCTGCTAAACCAAGGATTTACCTGTGAAATCACAGGAACAAGGAACGATTCATTGTCTGGATTGATTATCAGCCGCCCAATCAATTCAGCAGCAGCACAATGCCATGCTTTTATTGAAGAGGAAAGCATGCCCATTATGGCATGAACTGCGCTTTTCTCACTGTCTTGCAGAAAGCCAAGGAAAATAATAAGGAACAACATAAAAAGGGAAGATTGAGAAAAACACTCATGATGAACTTCTATCTCACGTCATTTTAATATATGATGGCTTTGACGAGCTGAAGATTCTCAGATCCAGAACAGGGGCTAAATTAACAAGGGCCTCCAGCATGTTTGTTATGAGCTCATCGTCTTCTGTCAGATGGTAGAAATGCACACAAAGATAAGTTTTCAAGTCTTACAATATTTGTTGCAAGTAACGGAACTGTTGTCTTAGCAATACATAGTCCTAGGACAACTCATCTGATCCACTACAGATATTCAATCAAATTACTATATGAAGAAACAAATGGCAATTTCGTGACATTTCTATTTTGCTCTATAACCCCAACACAAAAATCAAATAGGTCACATTAATAATAAATATTTGGATGAAAGCATCTGCAGCTCAAATAAAGCATACATAGGTGTCATTTGCAGTAAAATAATCAACACACAAGAAAATTGGCACAGATATATCCAGTCATATTTTAAAATCACATATTCAGTCAAGGACAAATTAATTTGTATATGTAGAATAGAGGAACTGAATAAAAGGAACATAGCATAGATGCCTGGGAATTAAAAACTAAGGACAATAACCTAGTATGAAATTTTACCTGCATTTTGGTCTTCTAAGCACTGAAATATAGTCTCCAAGCAATGTCTATGCTGGACCATGATAGTCTCATTTTCTGGCATGAAAGAAAAATTGCGGATTATATTGGAAGCCGCAACAGCACACTGTTGCCTCTCTGTCCGTCCTTCATCATCAATATTAAAAAGACCATCTTCATCAAACAAAAATCCTGCAGATCTCTTCTTTGTGATAGTGGAGCCCTCTATCTTTGATTGATCATTTGGAGGACTGAAATTACCATATTTCAAAGAATATAAGTATGTTGCGCAAATCATGAAAACGAGATGAGTACTCAAGATATTGATGAGATCAATAATGACATACGTGGTGCTGTCCGAGTATACTTTCCCAACATTTTCAAGACCAAATCCTGAGATTGTTGTATTGACACCCAAAGTTCTTACTCTTGGTGGTTTTGTATGGTCCCTAGGAATTGCAATATCTCGCCAGTCATCAATCTGTATAAGATGACAGAGCATCAAACAGAATGCAAGGAAAAACCAATAGTACAGCCCGATAAAAGCACTACCCCTTTTCGTGGAAAAATGGAAATCAACATGAACACTTAACTTAGCAGACTTTAGAACTCAGTCTTGTGCAAAAACCTTAGAGCATCTCCAACAGATGATGTAGATGTATAAATAACAAAAATATACATCACCAAGACCCAAAAAGGTCCCCCCAACAGATGATGTAGATGCAAAAAAATTACATCTGATGTAAAATGCATCACCAAGGGATGCAAATATACATCACTTAGGGGCAGATTTTACATCTAGATGTAAAACGCAGCCGCGCCGCGCGAAGCCCAAGTGACACTGGAACCTTCATTCCCCCTTCCCACCACGCGAACGCTCTGCCTTCCGCTGCACCACACCGCCCCGCCGCCCGCCCAGCACCCACCGGGCCCCGCCGCACCCCGCCGCCGCCGGATCCGCCGCTTTTCCGTCGCCCCACGCCTCGAAATCGCCGGAATCAAAGCAGCTCCGCCGCCGCCGCACCGCCCCCGATTTGAAGCATCTCCGTCCCCGCCAGCACCTGCACAGCCTCCGCCAACATCTTCCGGTCGTCTCCCTGAGACTCCGCCGCTGCCCCGCTGCCGCATGCCTCGTCTTTGGCCGAATCGAAGTCGCTCGGCCGCCGTCGCTCGATTTGGAGAAAATCTCCGTCATCGCCGCCGCCGCCGCCGAGCCGCACAGCCTCATGATGTAGTAGTTCAACTAGTTTTACATCATCTGTTGTTGCACTAGTTTTACATCATCTATTATACATCATCTGTTGGAGTTGGGTGTTTTTTGGTGATGTAATACCCACTTTTTGGTGATGTATTTTACATCATCTGTTGGAGAAGCTCTTAGAAGTCAAATTAGATATAAAAACTTTGGCAACCAATCGACAAATGGTATGTGTAAATAACAAAACATATCTTTAGAATTTTTCTGTACAGCTACGACAATGACGCCAAATCCTAGATTTTGCGTGAGAAGATCACACTTTTTTCCAACGTTGATGATAAAGGATGACTAGCTAAATTAATTATTTTAAATATAACTTACTTAATTATATTCAACAGATTATGCTAGATTAGTTAATTATTTTAAATGAACAATAGTGCAAACAAATTAAGCAGTGAATGACAAAGGAATTGGGAACCTGGAGAACTAAGCATGCAATGCATGATCCAGTAACAGCTAGATCAAGCTGGAGAGGAAGAACAGGAACTAAGCACCTACAACTTGAAGGAGGGCATCCAATAGCCCAGGAACTTTAGCAAGAGGTGTTGTATCCCGTCGGAGGTCATCCTTCTCCTTAAAAGAGAGTACTGTGAGGGCGTTCAATGCCCATAATATCTCACTCTTCAACCCACTTTGCAACGCAAGGACAATTCTTTTATTGTTGTGATCTGAAAAATTCACAACAAAAAGAAGTTAACTTGCCTTCTGCCAAATAGTCATGCAGGTAACCATTAAGCATACTAGAAAAGACAGATCATGCATTTCAAGCTCATGTCACAGAAGTGAGGCATCATCTGTATCAAATGGGACAAAAAATTACTAACAGGCCAACAACCTGCTTGTCTGAGTAAACTGGAACAACAAGGGCTGTCTGCATTTGTGACAAGGGAGAGACAGACAGCTGGTCACAGAGAAAATAAAAGATATATACAGCGACGCAATTCCTCAACTACTCAGCCAAAATATATCTTGTTTGATGACTGGGAAAACCACAACACATGTACATGCATTCACAGCCCATGCTCGAGTTCATTCACATTTTCTCGTGCAAGCACAAATGGAAACATGAAAATTAATCATCATGCAGGCTCAGTTTGTGGTTGCTATGATATGCTGTGTGCTGCTAATTTCTTGGCTGTTGTGGAAAAAGAAGATATTAAAACATATAGATATAGTACAATGGATAAAATAAACGTAGATAGATCCTCTTATCCAATCATTGATCTTTCACATTTCACATTTCATCTTAAATGCAGATAAACCAAACACAGGTTGACCTCTTGCATTTCATCTCAAATGTGCAGAGCACAAAAAGTCTGTTTCCAACTTGGCCAAGAAAAAAAAATAGGTATTCAAACACACAATTACGCAAAGCGTGCTCAACCCAACGGGATTATCATGATCCAACATAATGCGAAGAGAAGCCATGAAATATTGGCAGTAAACCCCACCAAAGTATTGTATGCTGAAGAGATAAATGTGATTAAACATCACTAATGGACTTCTGCATTTGCTACAAACTATTTTCCCGTAATATGCAACTTTTCCCTAAGAATAAAACAAGTTTCATGTTCACGTTTATTGTACGATTTTGATCAATCTAAAAAAGCCTAGGTATCTATCATGGTTAGAGCAGCCTCAGCTCGGTAAGTATCCTATAGATTAGTCATTGTTCCGCTGAAGCCAGAATTACGTGTCCAAGAATTGGAACAGGGAAGATCTAACCTGAAAGTAATCTTGCTAGGTGCTTTGGTTTTTTTGCAGCACACGGCTTCAAAAAGCATATGCTTGTGTGCTCAAATATTATCTATTAGGATCAAATTTGCTACCAGCTTGGGAAGGCATATGATTTCCGACTGAAGCTGGTTTGTGAGGTATGAGCCGGGATCTGAAGGGGGCAGAAGAATGATAAGGTCTCTCGGTTTCAACAGTAACCCTTGATCTTTAACTTCTTTATCATGCAGCTGATGGCAGTTTTTTTAATAATTCCAACATTACACTTGACAATCACGAGATATGGTGATTCCCAACAAGACATCCACAAGACATAATTAACTGAGGCGAACCAGCACTCAGAGTCAAAGCGTCCCTCTGTTTTCCCATAACGTGGGCTCTGGTACGCAAATCTTAGATCCAAGGCTTAACACATGTGTTTCGTTTCAATAGTTGGCATGTAATTACTCGACAGTATTGCAGCTGCAGCTGAAATAGAGAGTTCCTGATTTCCCCCCAACAAGTCGACTCCAATTGGAGGGTCCAACACGTGGTTTGCCACCATTGATGTCCTAGAACCCACCGGATTCTCGGTTTGAAGGTTAATAAGAGGCGAAGGAGACGCTCACCGGAGAGAGCCGTGAGGACATGGAGGGAAGGTCCGACGAGGGCGGCCGGCGCCGCCGGGTCGCCGACGGCAGCCGCGGCGGCCGCGGCTGCAGCCCCGCTGCCGGTGGTGCTTCCGAACGGGCGGCCGCGCTTGGCCGCGGCGGAACCGCCGCCTCCACCGGACTTGCCCGTCTGCTTCTGCATGGCTAGGGTTTTGGAACTCTTCACTTAGCTCGGAGGAGGTTCGGGCGTGGAGGTAGAAGGGGAGCAGGGTGCGTCGGCAGACAGGTAAAGTGTGGAAATAGAGCCCGTTTCACCCGTCGAATTGCGATCGATCGTGCAGAGGGTGTTGATTCAAGTTTTTTTTTTCAGGTTGTCATTTTCTGAAGAAAAAAAAACATAAGTTCAAGTCAGGACAATGAAAAGTAGATCTAGAAAAGAAAAAGAAAATGGTAACGAAATCATTACCAAACATATAGTACTCTTTGAGATATACTCCTCATGATCAAGTTTATAAGTCAATATCAAGTGATACCACCAGTTACATACTCCCATGATAACAACCTGAAAAGGTTAAATTTAATAAACACTACAAAAAGTTCCATAAAAAAATTGTGAATGTTCATAACACATGTGTCTACAACTCCTAAAAAGATCAGAACGAAATTCAAAGTACATATAAAGGAAAGAAAAGGAAAAATTCAGCATCAACAGTGTCAATAAAAACAAAAGCATGGATAGTATTAAAAAAACTACAGTGTTCACATCTTTTTGAGGAAAGGCCATCATGGCTAGCTTTATTGAAATCAAATAATAGATACATCGTCTACGAGCTTGCTGACCAACACGTCAGGGGGCTCGTTCATCCAAACCAACGAGATCTTATTACAATAACTATAGTTTGCTAGCACATGCGCTGCTTGATTCGATGATCGATAACAATGTTTATAGATGACCTTCCCAATTAATGTAGCCGTGTCCACACACTCCGTGAAAATTGCTGCCGCTGCGTCCCACCATCTCGACTGACCGGTACAAAAGTTGATGACTTGCGTAGAATCAGACTCAGCTTCCAATCGATTGAACCCAAGAGAATTAGCTAGTTTAAGACCATCCCTCATGACCATAGCTTCAGTTGTGACAACATCAGCAGCAAACGGAATAAATTTGCAAGTAGCCGCAATAAAATTACCTTTTTCATCTCATATTATCGCTGATGTTGCTCCCATTCCTTCATCCTGATAGTACGCCGCATCTACTTTCACTTTCACAAATTTGGGGTTGGGTTTAACCCATTTATATTCCTGAGGCCTGAAGGTTTTGGTAAATGCCTTCTCATAATTGCTTGCAATAGCCAGTACAGAGATCGGCCATCGGACTATCGGAGGGACAGATTCATTATGTGTAATACGCCTTCTTATCCACCATAAGTACCAGCAGGCGACCGCGATTACCTGCTTAAAATTCAGACTTGGTTCAAGGATTTGGGGACTATCCGGCATTAGAAACAAATATTCCAAGATCGCTGAACCGGATCTATCAACAACACTGGCATGGTCAATTATCTCAGACATCCTCAAGCATCGCCACATCTCCTTAGCATGCAGACAAGTGAAAAGCAGGTGGCAGAGATCCTCGGCACCTTGGTGGCATATCGGACATGCTCCATTAGTCCCTGTATGCCTATTCATTAGTATTGACTTTAGAGGGATTATTCCATGCAATACACGCCAGCAAAAGATCTGAACTTTACGAGGAATATTTAATTTCCAGAGTATACTCCATATTGCCAAAGGGGTAGAGCCACTCGGGACTGAATTAATATTTGTATGTTCTCTGAAGGTATACATCCACTATATTTTAGACGCACTTCGGACAGAAAAAGTTCCAGTTTTATTTGCATGCCATGCGATAAAATCATCAAAAGCTTGGCGGTTTAGCGGGATTTGTAAGATCCTTCGCACATCCACGAGATTGAAGATATTAGTGAGCAGTTCCTCGTCCCAGATTCCAGTATTTGGGTCGATGAGATCACTAACCTGTGATAAAACTGTTTGGCCACGGGGTGTAATTATTTTCCTGTCTGGGCTAGCCGGAATCCATGGATCACACCAGATGTTTACAGTCTCACCTGATCCAATTCTCTAGATGTAACCCTTCTTAAAAGTTTCTAGACCTTTCAAGATACTTTGCCAAGTGAAAGACACCCCCTGTTTCGGTGTAGCTCGTAGCAAACTCCCATTTGGATAATATTTAGCTTTCAAAACCCGAGCACAGAGGGAGTCTGGGTCTGTGATTAATCTCCAACATTGTTTAGCCAACATGGCTAAGTTAAAAGAATAAAGGTCCCGAAAACCCATACCACCTTCGCTCTTTGGAAAACAGAGTTTCCACCATGAATACCAGTGCATCTTTCTATTCTCTTCATCATCGCCCCACCAGAATTGAGCTATTACATCTGTGATATCCTTGCAAACACCCTTAGGTAAACAGAAAACTGACATAGCAAAAACAGGAATGGCTTGGGCCACCGCCTTAAGTAGAATCTCTTTACCTCCAGTGGATAACTGTTTCTCCATCCAGCCGATCAATCTAGCTTTGATTCTTTCTCGAAAGTGTTTGAAGCAATCACTTCTGTCTGCATCCACAATAGCAGGTAGGCCAAGATATCTATCTGATAGTGCTTCAGTTACAATATGTAAAATTTCACAAACTTCAGTTCTGGTTACCACAGGTGTATTTGGGCTAAAGAAAATACTTGATTTTGATAAGCTCACCATCTGACCTGAACTTTGGCAATAAGTGTCTAGTACATGCTGTAAGGAAGTTGCATTTAGGACATCCGCTTCCATGAGAATTAGAGAATCATCAGCAAATAAAAGGTGTGAGACTGATGGTGCATTTCTGCACACTCTAACCCCATCAAGGCCACCAACTTCTTTTTCAAACTACAACATACTAGAGAGACCTTCTGCACAAATGAGGAAAAGATATGGGGATAGGGGATCCCCTTGTCTAATGCCTCTAGATGGAACAAACATATCTGTTTCTTGAGAGTTAAAACAAATCTTATATCTCACAGAGCTTACACATGCCATAACCATATCAATCCATTGCTCATGGAACCCAAGTTTTTCCATCATACTTCGAAGAAAAATCCATTCAACCCGATCATAAGCCTTATGCATATCCAACTTCACAGCACATAACCCAGTTTGTCCAGCTCTCTTATTCTTAATCTTATGCACACATTCGTAAGCGATAAGAACATTATCAGTAATAAGCCTGCCAGGCACAAATGCACTTTGTGTAGGAGAAATGATTTCTGGCAAAATACTCTTTAACCTCCCTGCAAGCATCTTAGATATGATTTTATATAATACATTGCATAAGCTAATTGGTCTATATTAAGTTATCATCTCCGGATTGTCAACCTTGGGTATAAGAACGACTGAGGTGTCATTCCATTCAGTTGGGATCTGTTTTGAGTTGATGGCTAATAAAACCTCTTGTGTAATCTCATCACCCAAAACATGCCAGAACTTCTTAAAAAATATTGCATGTAGACCATCAGGCCTGGTGCCTTTAGGTCCCCTATACTGAACACTGCCTTTTTCACATCATCTGCTGTGAATGGAGCAAGTAACATGTTATTCATTTGAACTGAAACTTTAGTTTGCACCTTATCAATGATCTCATGATTAACCTGCTGCACCTCATTGGTAAATAGATTAGCAAAATAATTCTGTATGTGTGAGTTGAGATCAGCCATACCTTCCACTAAATCACCATTTCCATCTTTAAGTTTTTTAATCATATTTTTCTTTCTCCTCACCGAAGCAAAGGCCTGGAAAAACCTTGTGTTTCGGTCCCCATTCTTCAACCAAGTAGCCCTTGATCGCTGAAGATGATGGATTTCTTCTATTTCCAGTAGGTATTCGACCAACTCGGCTAATTCTTTCCTCTTGATCTCTGTTTCATCATTTATAGGGCCCATCATAATTTTTTCCAACTCTCTCTGCACCTTCTTTAACCTTTTCTTGGGTTTCTTAAGTACTCGTTGGTCCCAGTCATGAAACAGGCTATGCATCTGACTTAACTTGCTATGGATATTCTGTGCATTAGGGTCAGCGCCCACTTTGTTCCAAGCTTCTAGTACCGTATCACTGAATTCTTTTTCATGCAGCCATCTTGCTTCGAATCTTTTCACCCCCGCTGCTACGTTTATGTTCTGCACATAAAACTCTGTATCCACTAGAAGAGGCCGATGATCAGAGTGATTATAGTATTTATTCTCGAGTGCTACATGGGGGTATAACTGTGACCATGACTCATTAATGAGCCCTCTATCCAGTCTTTCTCTAATTCTGCCCCTCTGCCATGTGTAACCATCACCTACATATCCCATGTCTCTGAGATCACAGTCATCTATAGCCTGCTGAAATGCTTGCATATATTGTGGAGGTCGTGGGTTCCCTCCTTCCTTTTCACTTAGATTTTGTATTTCATTCAGGTCTCCAATCAACAACCAGGGGAGATTCTGACTCTGATGTAATGATCTCATATGGTCCCAAGTTTTATATTTGTTCTCCCAACGAAATTCGCCATACATACCAGTCAATCTCCAAATACTGTTATTACTTTCCTCTATTGTCACATCAATGAACATTGGGTCTAAGTCCAGTCTATTTACTTTAACCTCTTTCTTCCAAAGCAATAGCAAGCCACCTTTCCTACCGTCACTTGGACATACAAACTTTTGATCCATTTTTAATTTTCTCCTTAAACACTCTGCCGGATAGCTGTCAAGGTGTGTCTCCGACAAAAACATCACATCGGGATTGTAACTTCGCTGGACCTCCAGCAAAGCACGAACTGCCGGGGCATTCCCGAGCCCCCGACAGTTCCACGCTAGTAGTTTCATTGATCCCGGCGATCACCCTCGAGGGGCGTCGCCGATCCTGAATTAACTGTACTATTTGGGTTAGTGTCCACAGCCTGACCATCTATTCCCCTAAGCTTCTTTCTGCTCGCGTTCTTTTGGGGTGTACCTGATACTGATAGTGAGAGACTTTTTTCCTCCCCATCTATTTCTCCTTCAAAAAGATTTACTTTTTCCGCTACTGTTACTGATTCTGGCTCCTTGGCAGCCTTGGTAGCTACAAACGGGATAAGAGTTGTTTGATCAGTTTCAGTGTTACCAGTCACGACCAGGGGAGCCCTTGAGTTACTGTCAACCGCAATCCTTTTCCCTAAGATGTTATCTGATGTTGTGGTCATTCGCAAGTCCCGATCTTCAGGATCTGTGATGGTATCCCCTTCATTTGATCCTCCGAGGACTACATCTGTAGCATGGACATAATTGTGTCGCCAAATTACAGGGCCAGACCCTTCATTGTTCGGTTCAGTAGGGTGATAATAAGAATTGTTTCCACTTCCTCGACCATTACCACGGCCAAAACCTCGCCCGCGGGTAGTATAATCATCCCCGCTTCCCTGTCGATCACCTGTCCCACGCCCTCCACGACCGCCTCCTCTGCCTCTCCAGGGAGCTAGCAGGAAATTTCCCCATTCAAACTTTGATTTATCGTGTTCTCCCGTCCCGCATTCTTCATGCCAATGTCCCATCAAACCACAAGCATGACAGAAGGTCGGCAGTTTCTCAAATTTCACAAGATACTTTTCTGTTTCTCCTCCCTTTGTAATACCAACAGCTCTAGTCAGTTTTTTGTTTACATCAAGTTTCACTCTAACCCTTATAAACTCCCCGATGAAACCATTTGGTAGTGTTACCTGTACCTCTGTAACGCCCCGAGACTGATGTGCCAGGTGTCCTCCAGTTATTCGCAGTCTTTGCCATGTCATTTGCTTGCGTGTCGCATCTTGTCATGTCATCATGTGCATTGCATCATCATGTTTTCAAAACTTGCATCCGTCCCGGCCTCCTCGTTCTCTCCGTTGTCCGTTCTGAGCCCAGACACACTTGCACGCGCCCGCGACATGTCCGAAATAGTATTTTATAAGTGGCTGGAAAATGTTCTCGGTATGGGATGAGAGTTGACGTGTGGTCTTATTATGGTGTAGATAGACCGCCTGTCAAGTTTCATCACATTCGAAGATTGTTTGA